GCTTATCTCCAGAGCGTTGCTCTGGAGACGAGAGCACCGTTTTCACCCCCCTTCCTCCATTCCAGTCCATCACATAATGCTAATCTTGTCACATTCAATCTAATCCAATTTTGGTTAAAATAAGTCTATGTCAGTTTCATATTTGAACTGGACCTTTACAATTGTCCTTTCAGGTGTAGTGCTTTGCTATGACTATTGAGGTTGGATTATGTATTCAGTCTATACAATCTCACTAGACTGAACAATTGTGTTTGGGGATTTCTGATTTCTGCCTTAATTCAGTATCTACCATCTTAAAGTAATGCTGTCCGCTTTAGTATCTACCATCTTGAGGTAACACTGTCCACTTTAGAGGTGTTAGCTTGCAGCAATGCAATAGTGGGGCTTTGATAGCACCGGACAGTGTTTGGAAGATCAGATGGATGCAATCTATCAGTTCTTCAATGTAGATCAAACTAGGAAATCAAACTCATGTAGGCCAATACTACTTTTATTGTAAAGTTATAGTAACAGAATCTTTCAAGTCTGAATGCACCTCCCCTCTCCCTCCCTTTATCTCAGTGTGAACTAGGGAAGAGGTTGTCTAAGATGTTACATTCCTGCCCCAAATTCAGGTTTCTTTTATCTGACCATTGCCTTGGCAGCAACTCTTCCTCCTGATCTTCAAGGCCACTCCCCTTTCCCTCTACACTATCTGGCTGGAGTAGGCCTGAAGCCATGGTTAGTTTGGTGGTTTTATGTATGAAGCACATTGTTTTTGAAGGCCTATCGAAAGAGGCAAAGTATGAGCTCAAATTTGAGTTGGAATGTTTTGTTTGAGTATAAAGTTGGAGGTAGATTACTAAAGCAATAAAAAGAGTATATGACAAAGGTAAGGTGCTTGCTTAGTTAAATGATTCAACATGAGCAGGGAATAAGATAAAGATGTGTGATGCCTTCTTGAATGTTTAATATATTTATGGACAAATGGTAATATAGCCTTGTTGACTTGGGATGTGAATGTGTGGGTACTTTTGTATGCAGATGATGCCATGCTGTTAACTGTTTGCTGGGAACTCAGTGAATATTAGAAGGTATGATACAAAGAGGAGTATGGACTTGAAAATTAAGGTACTGAAAACAAAAGGTACTTATGTTTGTCTGAGTGAACAACTGTAAATGGTGCAAAAATCAGAGCAAGTGAATTTGTATTCCTTGATAAAATGTATACTAGGGATGGGAAATAATGGAGAAATTTAAGATCTATACATGCTAGTAAAAAGGTAGCGGTATAAATGTTGAAATAAGCTAAAGTGATCACTTGGTTAAATGGAAGTGGGAGTTGTGTCTATCAGTGGAAACATAAAAAGTAATGTAAATGCAGTAGGAATGATTTATGTAGTGAAACAAGAATAGTAAGGATCAAGAATGAACAGGTGCTGAATGAATGTGAATTGAATACAAAAGTGAAAAATCTGTATGAAAGAAGTACACTAAGCTGGCTTGGCCATATGGAGAGAATGAATAAGGATTGAAACGCAAAACAAATATATAAAGGTAGAGTGAATGGGGTAAGGGGAAAAGAAAAACTAGGAAATTTGTAGTTGCATTGAATTAATTACAGGTGAAACTCGAAAAATTAGAAC